AGATTTGGAGACGATCATCCATGCTTTTATATAATCTAAATTGGATGTGTATTTAGACATTTCTCAGTCATTGGTAAATCGGTTGCAGCTTGCTCCAAATGCTGCTGCTAGACTATTGACCGGAATGAGAAAGAGGGACTGATTCACTCTGATTTTAACATCCCTGCAATGGTTACTGGTTAGATATTGGATTTATTTCAAGATCTTATTAATAATTTTTTGAATTTTAAGTGGTCTTACGTCCTTGTATTTGTCAGATCTTGTATTTGTTCCATATGTATTCTTTTCTGTCTTTATTACTTAATTTGTGTTATATGCAACTGCATTATTTGTGACTGGATTGGGAAAATGTCCAATGTCCACTTAATTGTTATTTTGTAATGGATTTTTGTTCTATTGGTGTACCTTGTAAAGCATCCTTGAGCCTGGGAAAGGCGCTATATAAATTAAACATATTATTATTTATTATTATTAGATCTTGTTACTCTACATAAGCCAGTAAAGAGTTCTGCTGATAAAACAATTTCTCCAGGTACCACGGTCCCGACTCAAGTGAAAAGGTGATCAGCCTTTTCGATAGCCAGACCTCGGTTATGGAATAACTTACCGCTAGACATCCGCACTGCCCCATCACTGATCGCTTTTAAAAGGGCTTTGAAGAAGCACTTTTATATCTTGGCTTTTCAGTGTGATTTAGGAGAGACCTAAATATAATTTTTTTTCCAGTTAAAGTTAAGATGATGAGTAGACTGAAGTTGGGCTCAGGTGGTTGTGCTGTGGGATGTGTGTCATATACATTTATTTATTTGTGGCGCTCACCACAATATCAAAACCGACGATTTTCCAAAAGGCTTGGTTGAATAAACATGAGCACTGCATGTTTAAAAATCAAAATGAGGTGCGGGTGCTTTTATATCACTGTATTTCTGAAGGAAGAGTATCTTTAGAAAATTTTCGATGTCATTTTAATTTCATCTTGCATGTTATATGTCTGATAAAGCAGCATTTGTGAGCTCAGCACTGCTTTGTGTACAGCTGTTACTGGGGAAACCTCTGTTTTTGTTCCGTCCTCCACGCTGTGACAACTCACAAAAGACAATTTTTAACCAAGCAGCACGGAGAGCCGCTTCAGAAACGTGCCGCGGCTGGCTGATAAACACAAGCACTGACTAGAGCGGCCGTGATCAGCTCCGGTGACCGTGGAGCCGTAACGCGCCGCAGACGCGTGCAGTGAGGCGCAGATCAGCTCTAACGTCACTGAATCTGCTGTTAAAAATGAACCAACTATTCATCATATCATCATGGAAAACATACATGACAAACGGCAAATTTTTCATTGTTTCTCGAAACGTGCATAGCATTTCCACACCAGCGATGACTGCGGCGCTAAATCATTTATGTCCTCACGCATCATGTACGTCGTCACGAGTTGACATCATCAAAATTGCGATCGATTCCTGAGATCGGCCAAGTTGGTGAGTACCGATCGAGTCATAAAATATGATTATCGGCCGATCCCGATCTCTGGCCGATCGATCGGAGCATCCCTAGTATTTACATAAAAAATGATTCTGGCGTTTTCTATGATATTGAAATGATCACCATGTAGTATTTGACTGAGTATTTGACTGAGCAGTCATTGAGTGTTTTGTCATTGTATTTGATTTCTCTAATACATAAAAGAAGTAAACCAAAGAAACCAATTTACTGAAGGTAGCAGTGTAGCGCAGCTCTTCAGCGGAGATGTTAGCATGTCGGTCTTCAAAGAATCGGAACCTTTCTGAGACTTGGTTTATACTCACTGCATTCACAAGTTTAATTGTTTGCACGCAAAAATAACATAATTGCAGTAAAAAGTGCACATCGCCAGGCCCAGTGTTTTAGAGGCTATAGCATTGCTTCCCTTTCATAGGTTCACTCCACGCTGTGTCGCTGATGCTATGGGAACAGCCCCAGTGTGATGGTTGTCTGAAGCCCTTATACCTTCCCACCAACTCATTGGGCACTCACACAAGGAATACTTCACGTATGCCTTAAGAGCATGCTCGCGCCATCTCAACTCAGATTTCTTTGAGGAAGAGGTTTGTCTGTTGCGTATCGGAAAAGCGAATGTCATGTTCTTTGCTTACTGTTTTAGAGCAGTTTACCACTCCTCCCAGGCGGACACAATGAGTTTTCCATAATATGTGGATCTGTGCGACAGATTCATCGCAGGAGGCTAAACATGACAAGTATGTGCTATGTTGTTTGGCGCTTATCAGCCTGTCTGCTTTAGGCTCTCTTTCTTTTTAAAGAAAGAAGAGCGTTGGTTTAAACACATTCATCTAAATCCTGACTAGATATGGCTTTATACCGTGGTGCTCTCCCTCCAGGTCGATGGGAGAAATACACAGACGAGACGGCTGTATGCTCTTGAGTGGAAACTCTTTGTTTCCTTATGTGGTGTGGGCAATGCAATTTGGATCCAGTCCACTGCCCTACAGCTTTAGTGCTAGAGATCCTATTAAGTCAGTTTTCAGCAGTGGTGGCCCCTGCCGGTCTTGATTTTATGCAGCAGTGATTGCTGCTATATCATGTGCTGATAGGAGGTGTCTCCATTGGGCGACACTCTCTGGTTTCCTGTTTTCTGCAAGGAGCGTGACGGCTTAGATCTTTCTGCCCTGTGTGATTTCCTTCGTGGGAGTTATCAGTTGCTGTAGAACAGGGGTGTCCAAAGTCCGGTCCGTAGATGAATTTCAAACAGCTCACAGCTTGTCTATTAAAATATATGTGGCCCGCCAAGCATAATTTGCAAATGACACTGCTTCACAGTGTCAACACAAGGTGACAGCATTAGATTTTAGGCCAGATGTCGCAGTAACACATGAGTGTTACCATTTCTTTAGCACACAAGAATTCCTAAATAACACCCCAATAGCAGAACAGAACAGAAGCAGTACTTGTGTGAATCGCACCGCACGGACCATTATTATCTCTGCCTAAAGACAGCGCATCACAAGCTCAAACAAATGCATTAACTCACTGACTGGTCTCGATCTCGCGACCACTAAACGGCACTGAGAGATCCAGTGAGAAACATTTGAGTTTGGAGCAGAGGTCTCCGATATAAACCACAGGTGATTTAAACAAGTTTAAAGCCAGATGAAACAGCATAACACTCTCAACAACAATGACGCGGAAAACAGGAGAAACATTGCAACAAAAATCCAATTAGAATAGCCTACTTTTCAATCCACATCTCAAACATTTACAATGGGTTTACTGTAGTAACACTAACTGTGGTATTGTGGCAGAAATGTAGGATATTCATATCAGATTTTATTATATTATCAATGTAGGCCAATTGAATGTATTAAGGGAGTAATGAAATATAGGCCAAATTATACAGACATTTTGTTATAAGCAGTTTTGTGCATTTCTATTTATATTAAATAAATGTGTTTATATACTAAATACCATTAAGCCATTCTAGATATTATATAATAGATAGATATGATAGATTAAGACACATAGATAGATATGCTATTACAGGTATTCATTATTCAATTATCAAAATTCATATAATAGAAGGAGCATCCGGCCCCCCGGTGTGTCCACAACATCGAATCTGGCACCCTTTAAAAAAAAGTTTGGACACCCCTGCTCGAGAAAGTTTGATGGACCATCTATTTGAGCATAGTTCTGATGGTCAAATGGCTGTCACCGAGCAGAGGATATCTCATTGGGTGACTGTTGCTATCTCTGCGGTCCATGAGGCACGTTGCTTGGCTTTGCTGGTGTTCATACTCATTCTGCAAGATGGAGGAGTGGCTTCTTTCCAGGCTCTGTTTAAGGGTTCTTCCTTTGGTGGATATTTGTGTTGCAGCAGGATGGTCCTCTCTGCACACTTATTGGGTGTTATGGTCTGGATGTGGGGATGTCTGGATGTCTTGAACTGGACACTGTCCTTGGTCTTCCAGATAAACCGGCAAATGTAGTCGAAAGCGTGGAGTGAACCTATGAAAGGGAATGTCTCTGTTATGTATGTAACTTCGGTTTCCTGAATAGGGAACGAGACGCTGCGTTGCCGGCCATTCTCCTGCTTTGCGAATTGCTTCCTTAATGAAAAGATCTGAGATGGCGCGAGCACACTCTTAAGATGGTCTAAAGCGCCACTAGCCAATTAATTGGTAGAAGGGATGGTTTAAGGGTTTTAAGCGTGATGGTTTCATTTCAAGTTTTTTGTTTTGTAAAGCAGCTATGTATAAGCTGGTAAAATAAGCTGTTTTAATGCATAAATACAAGTATGTTACCTTTTATTGGATGCTAAATATAACAAAACCTTTTTAATTAATTTTTTAATGTTCCTACAGGACTTAATAATAAAGAGGTATTTGCATAATAACAAAATTTTTTGTTTAAAATGTAATTAGCGATATTAGATTCTAGTTTACTGAACCTTATGAAATCAAAATCCAATCTTCAAATTGCAACCGTGCTGATAATTGGGAAAATCGGCACTCTTGTGTACGTGATTTTGCTTGACTATGTCATGTTAAGCAAGTTTAAGACAATATCACTTTACCCTCATATCAAGAGGCTATGTTAACAATAAGTGGCATGGCATGTTATTCACAGAATCCACGAGACAGATATAAAACTCGAGCTCGAGCCCCTGGCCTTTTAATCGCCAAAACTAAAGTGCCTTTTTGGTCCAAGGTGCCCACAGAACACAATTTCTACCGAGGGGGAAACCCCATGTCCCCCACCCCCCTTTGTCCTCCAATCGTGATTTATCCTCTGCTCCTCCAAGGTCTGTTTGTGGTACTCACATAAGGAAATTGAATTATTTAGACTAATACTGAACCCCCTCAAGCACCATGTAGAAGTGTGTCTGAACCTTAGACTGGACCGGTGAATCATGCTGTGGATTAAGTCTCTGTTTCTGATTGTAAAGTTCCTGCTTATCTGAGCTGTACATCCAGAACTGAGAGACTGAAGAGTGTCATTTTTCTCTACAGGTTGAGTGATTGTGGCGTCACAGATGAAGGTTGTGCTGCTCTGACTTCAGCTCTGAGATCAAACCCCTCACAACTGAGAGAACTAGATCTGTCAATGAATAAATTAGGAGCGTCAGGACTGAATCTGCTCTCTGATCTACTGAAAGATCCTCCCTGTAAACTGGAGATACTGCGGTAAGACTGTATGAATGTCTCAACATCCTACCCCATTTATTCCTTTGGCCTGTATGAACGAAATTCAAATCAAATCTTAAAGTGTCCTTTCAGAAAATTGAAGCGAATGTTGTTTTATTCTTCACTACATTCTTTCCAAAGTTTTGATGTAATTTTGCAATGTAGAATTTTGCAATAGAATAAGATGAGTGGATGATGTGACAGCAACAACTGCTTTATGTCATACAGATGCGTGTTGAGGATTTGGGGTATTAGGGCTTTCTATTAGGGCTGTAAAATCGATGAATCACGATTAATCGTTTTATTTCACCTTGTTTCTATTTCAACGTGTCACGCTTGACACAATACGCCACGGCCACAAAAACGCTGTATGACAGATGTCAATTTTATTTAGTTTTTCCCTTTTTTCTTCAAAATATTCACAAACTTGTTAACTGTCATCAACTGGCTGATATTCTGATTCTCAAATACGTGTAAGTGAATGTGTTTTGTAATTTACAAACCTTTATAATGATCTTATTAGTTGATCTATAATGCGCGAGGGATGCCGCCATGTTAGTTTATGCTGCAATTCAGAGAGTCATATCTGTCAGATTTACAACATGCAAATTCATCAATTTCTGCGCAAAATACAATGTAATTTAAAGGAAAATTATGTGAGTGATCGCCAAAACTAAAGTGCCTTTTTGGTCCAAGGTGCCCACAGAACACAATTTCTACCGAGGGGGAAACCCCATGTCCCCCACCCCCCTTTGTCCTCCAATCGTGATTTATCCTCTGCTCCTCCAAGGTCTGTTTGTGGTACTCACATAAGGAAATTGAATTATTTAGACTAATACTGAACCCCCTCAAGCACCATGTAGAAGTGTGTCTGAACCTTAGACTGGACCGGTGAATCATGCTGTGGATTAAGTCTCTGTTTCTGATTGTAAAGTTCCTGCTTATCTGAGCTGTACATCCAGAACTGAGAGACTGAAGAGTGTCATTTTTCTCTACAGGTTGAGTGATTGTGGCGTCACAGATGAAGGTTGTGCTGCTCTGACTTCAGCTCTGAGATCAAACCCCTCACAACTGAGAGAACTAGATCTGTCAATGAATAAATTAGGAGCGTCAGGACTGAATCTGCTCTCTGATCTACTGAAAGATCCTCCCTGTAAACTGGAGATACTGCGGTAAGACTGTATGAATGTCTCAACATCCTACCCCATTTATTCCTTTGGCCTGTATGAACGAAATTCAAATCAAATCTTAAAGTGTCCTTTCAGAAAATTGAAGCGAATGTTGTTTTATTCTTCACTACATTCTTTCCAAAGTTTTGATGTAATTTTGCAATGTAGAATTTTGCAATAGAATAAGATGAGTGGATGATGTGACAGCAACAACTGCTTTATGTCATACAGATGCGTGTTGAGGATTTGGGGTATTAGGGCTTTCTATTAGGGCTGTAAAATCGATGAATCACGATTAATCGTTTTATTTCACCTTGTTTCTATTTCAACGTGTCACGCTTGACACAATACGCCACGGCCACAAAAACGCTGTATGACAGATGTCAATTTTATTTAGTTTTTCCCTTTTTTCTTCAAAATATTCACAAACTTGTTAACTGTCATCAACTGGCTGATATTCTGATTCTCAAATACGTGTAAGTGAATGTGTTTTGTAATTTACAAACCTTTATAATGATCTTATTAGTTGATCTATAATGCGCGAGGGATGCCGCCATGTTAGTTTATGCTGCAATTCAGAGAGTCATATCTGTCAGATTTACAACATGCAAATTCATCAATTTCTGCGCAAAATACAATGTAATTTAAAGGAAAATTATGTGAGTGGTGCTGAGGGGCTCTGTGGTGCTTCAGGATTTTGAACAGTGCCCAGAGTGGCAGCTGGGATCCGTGGACAGCGTCGGCACCGGTGTGCGTACACTCGTGTGCAAATTTTAAAGACGTGGTGCAGCGCTGCACTTGTCATCCAGTGTGCGACCCCCTTAAGGCTGGATTAGACTCTTGTCAGAGGTTGAATTGTCAAAGATGACTTTTAGAAGAGGACACCGTAAGCTATGCTGGTAGTTAGTTTTTCCCCTGATGAGGGTAGGGGGAGAGGGCCTAGGTTCAAGAGTTATGGTTCGCTACTGACACAAATATATTATGCAAACACAAACTTTATTTTGGAAGCGATTAATCATGATTCATCCCTACTTTCTATGATATTGGAATGATTCCCATCAATCAGCATGTAGAAGCGGGTCTGCACTGTTAGATTTTCCTGTATTTGGCTGAGCAGTTGTTGAGTGGTCCACCACTGTATTTAATTTCTCTAATACATAAAATAGGTCAACTTGACTAAAGTTCTTGTGAAGAGAAGAATTTATTGAAGGTAGCAGTGTAGCTCAGTTGTTCAGCAGTGATGTTAACGTGTCTTCAAAGAATCTGAACCCTACTAAATGTATATTTGCCTGTTTGCTTTGTTGCGCGCATCACAGTGCTAGCAAAGTGCACATTAACTTCGACACACCCCATTTCATATGGCGCTATATGTCTCTACAAAAAAGTAGAGACTGAATAGATGTCCATTTTAAAATTGTGAGAAGTGGTGTAATAAGCAATGGCTTCTGCTTACTCCTTACTGAGTTAACTCTTGTTAACTAATTTATAATGTGTTTACACTGTTTTTGTTGGCTTTAATTTTGAGTTTATTGATAAAATAAATATGAATATAAGTCATATGTTTAAAGAGTCAGATGGTTTACAAAAATTATGGTCGGTAGATGGTCAGTAAAATTATGAACTGTACTCAGGGCCAGATTATAACACAGTGTTGCCCCGGGCACAGATCAGTTTAATGGATCTTAAATCTTTCAATGAAATTTTTGGGGGTTGTGGGAGGGTTCCCCCTCGGTTGAAGTTAAATTGGTAGGCTTGTGCATATTGACAGCATATTTCGTAATTTATATATATATATTTTTTATATATTATATTTTTATTTTTTATTTTTAAAATTCTAAGATGGAAAAAAATTTGTTTTACAAATGTTTGAGATGTGTCTATCAAATGAGAGATTACTATCAAACGGCACACCTAGGTTCCTAAGAGACGACTAAAACTTGACAGAGCAGTCATCAAGAGTATTCTAGGTCATTGCATGTAGAGGGTTTTGGTCCAATAATTAAAACCTTTCCAGATTTAGTAGTAAGAAAATGACTGCTTATCCAAATTTTTATATCAACTATGCATTGTGTTAGTTTTATGAATTGGTATGTTTCATCTGGCCGCTAAGAAATATAGAGCTGAGTGTCATCAGCATTACAGTGAAATCTAACTCCATGTTTCCTAATGATATTTCCCAAGGGTAACATGTACCGGGTGAAAAGCAAAGGTCCTAGTACTGAGCCTTGCGGTGCTCCATACTGAACTAGTGATTGATTACCTCTTCATTTACTAGGGCTGTGACAATAAATTGATGCATCGCGATTTGTGGATTGATTCTGAGATTTGCCGAATGCATCGAAATTCTCTCTACCATCTGCTGTTAAAAACTAAGCTCATCGATTAGAGAGAGAATTGCGTTGTATTCGGAAAATCTCATAACCGATGAGAATCATTTCTTGATTTGCGATGCATCGATTTATTTTTCCAGCCCTATCATTTACTGTTACAAATTGATAAAGCCAACATAATTTTTTTTAGTCAAAAGAATGATACAACAAAGATTGGATGTTAAAAGCAAGTTGTGAGGATACTGCCTTTTCTAGAATTATTGAAAATAAAAGGGGTATTCGAGATTAGTCTGTAGTTAACTAATTTTAGGAAGTTGTGCTTTTTTTAATTAATGTTTTTTTAATAATCTTTTTCATTAGCTTAGTCGTATAGGGTCTAACATACATGTTGTTGATTTTGAAGTAATCTGAAGATTGCGGTTCGATTCTCAGTACTGGAAGAGAACGCTGGTGGGGGGAGTGAATGAACAGCTCTCTCTTCCACCCTAATTACCCACGACTGAGATGCCCTTGAGCAAGGCACCGAACACCCAATTGTTCCCCGGTGCTGCACACTGCTCTGGGTGTGTGTTCACAGTGTGTGTCTGTGTCTGTGTGTGTGTGTGTGTGTGTGTGTGTGCACTTGGATGGGTAAAATGCAAAGCAAAAATTCCAAGTATGGGTTGCTATGATTGGCCTACACTTCAAATAACAATAGACTGGACCTGTTAATTGTGTTGTGGATTTAGTCTCTCTTTCTGATAGTGAAGTTCCTGCTTATATGAGCTGTAGATTCTGAACTGAGAGACTGAAGAGTGTCATTGTTCTCTACAGGTTGAGTTATTGTGGAGTCACAGAAGAATGTTGTGCTGCTCTGGCTTCAGCTCTGAGATCAAACCCCTCACACCTGAAAGAACTGGATCTGTCTGGAAATGAACTAGGAGCATCAGAACTGAATCTGCTTTCTGCTGGACTGAAAGATCCTCTCTGTAAATTAGAGATACTGCGGTAAGATTGTATTAATGTGTCGACATTCTCTTTCATTTTCGTTCTATGACTAATGAACAAAATTAAAACCAAAACTAATCAAGACTAAAAATGTGTCCTGTCTAGGGGTGTAACGATATACCAATGCCACGGTTTTGGAGCCACGATTCGGTTCTGTTTGATGTGAGAGCAGGGTTCATGTCATGGCACCAGCAATGCTAAAGAACACTAGATTCACTTTTAAATTAATAACAACAACAACAACAATAATTTAACTAGGGTTGGGCAAGTTATCGCGTTATCATCGCGTTAACGCATTAATTAATTAACTAACACCGACAATTATTTTATCACGCATTAACACAGTTTTTATTATTATTATTATTTATTATTATTTAGTCTGTTGCTCACTGGCTCTGAATTCACATACAGCCAAACCATGGGTCACAGGAGGGGTGGGATGTTGATCAGTACTGGCTTGGGATGGGTGTCATGATGCCTCTCAACCAATGAGAGCATTTGGAAGTGCATCATTTTGTTAACTTTCTGGTTTATTATTTTTAGTCATTTTGGACGCGGTAACACACGGCCCAGTCACAATATATTGCTTTTTACTGATCTATCACTTTTGCCGCTCAGAAATGTTCATGCAATCGTGCTGCATGTATCAGAATTTCCGCGCTCCGGCGTGGTTAGCGCTCACACTCACTGATCTGTATATAACTGAACCACGCTCTGGCCCACCTCTTCCAACCGAGCCAGGGATGACTAAACGAACCACACCCGGGTCAAATGCGCTCGGGCCCAGGGGCGTAAATTTCATCTAACAGTTGGGGGGGACAATAAACAAAATTTCTTAAGAGCAACTTTTGAAGGGGGGGGGGGGTTGACTTTGCTCTCTCTTACTGGACTTGTGTGGTGGTAGGTGATGTAAAAGAGGAAAGCAGGCATTTGGACCAAAGCACTGTGAGGCAAGGGAGGGGGAAACTCAAAATGTTTCTAAACTTAAAACGCATTTTTGCCCTGCTTGTATTGTTTTACTACCTTTAATTATTTAAAGTATACAACATTGTTATTTACAATACACAGCGTGGTTTTTAATCATATTTTGAGGGAGGACAACCCTCAGATAGAAGGGGTCCTGTCCCCCCCCCGACCCCCCCGGGATTTCCGCCTATACTCGGGCATGTTTCAAAACGCCTAGTGTGAGTACACCCTTATTCTCCCGCATCCCGCACATGAGTCTCTACCCGCCCGCACTCGCCCATCAAATGTTGTCCCGTTAGGTCCCGCGATCGTGCAGGTCTCTACTCGGAAGGTGCTTGTTATATTGTTATGATCGAGGCTCTGGACTCTAAGCATAACTTGTTTTTCTATAACAAATTATAAAATATTTTCTATAAAAACTTTAATGCCCTGGCAGTGGCAAATAGCTTTGGCTTTATTTTTAATTTGATTACATTAATGTTTAAGTTGAGATTTACAAGAAATATTTTAACTGCTATTAAGCACCTTTTTTGTTTAAAGTGTTTGCAAACCAAATGTTATTGCACTTTTGTTCATATAGCAGTACTTTTAAATGAAAAAAGTGCGCAATACACTACTTTTGAATTCATTGTTGAATTTTGTGCATAACAATGCGATTAATCGCAGACAAATCATGCAATTAATCGCGATTAAAAAGTTTAATCGTTGCCCAGCACTAAATTTTACTTAATTTTATCTTTATTAACTTTATACATTGGCTTCAAGTTTCTTTTTAGTGCAGTCAGCGTACCTGAGTAAACTCAGGGTGCTTTCACACCTGTAGATCGATTGCTTTGTTCCGAAACAGGGATTAAAATTGTTAAAATGTTGCTTTTTATTCTTGGTGCGGTACGCTTTCACACGGCAATGTTTCTAAATGGACCAAATTTGTTAATACAAGTCACGCACGAGTAAACTGTTCTCTCATTGGTCAAAGTTTCATGGTTTATTTTCCGGGATTCCACTTAGCTGTCACAGCTGTCACAGCTGTCATCTGTCAGGATGGAACAACGCGGGCTTATTGTTGTTGTTTTTTGTAGATGTCATTATATTAATTTATCACTTTGAGCAGGAGTCCAGGATTCATCGGGAATTTTTTTTTAAAATGCACATACCAGGAAGAAGAGCAATAAGACAGCATTATAAAATCAAAAAGTGCGCTTTGATTTAGAATGGCGAAGATGTGCTCACCCACAGACATTCACAGGTTCATTTTGAAGTATTAGCAAAACAACAAAGCTAATGCTTTTCACGGAAATTACATAATTACCCATTATACATTGTGATATAGCCTGTTTCATTGGTCCGTTAGATCGGATTGCTTTCTCACTACAATCAAACTGCTCCAGACTTCATTTTCAATCGAGCCAAGACCACCTTGTTCAGACGATCTCGGACCGACTGTTTTGGCGCGGATCCGAGTGTGATTGCCGTGTTCACATATGCCCAAACGAACCGAGCTAAGGGGGAAATGTGCCAGGTTCCAAAACAACGGGCCAGGTTTGAAAGCACCCTAAAATGAAATAAATACCTCCGATGTAGACTGAAATAAACACTAACATACATTTGGAATGTTCAATTAAGTTTTAAGTTCTTCTTCAAAAACACCATCATGTCCACATTCTCAGGTGAGAGGCTTGCTCTCTGTGCTGTAACAATGTCCCCTGCTTTAGAGAACACCCTCTCCCTGGGACATATGTTGGTGGGACTCCAAGGTAGCATTTAGCCAACTTGGCTACATGAGGAAAACTGGCTCTCATTGTCCTTCCACCATGCAAGTGGAATTGAGTGGAGTTGGCACTTGCTTGTAATACTCGACGTCCTCTTTCACCATTTGAGATGGAGACTTGGGTGCAGGGGTGCTCAGCTCCATTGGAAATAGCTTTCCGAACAGTTCAGAGATTGGTGCTCTTTTGGTTGGAGGATCACCACTGCTGGATGTCACTTCTAACTGCTCCTCTGAGGCCTGGGCCTAACAAGCACAAAGCCACAAAATATTGCTAATTGCAATTCATATCTGACACATAGAACTACCAAGAACAAACAACGTGATGCTCATTTCTGATTATCTGATTATACGTTTATGTTAGATAGTGTTAAATGCTGAAATAAAAAATAAACATATATATTTGTAGTGTTTTTCACAGTACATGTTCACTAGTAAGATGTATTCCAGGTCTGTGTGAAACTAAATGGTATTGGTAAAATTTAATTTATCAAATTAAGTTTGGATTTAAACCATTTAAAAAAAATACCTGTGGGGAAAGGTATTACGGAATCTTCTCCATCAGGCTACTGAAGAGTTTGCTGTGCGTGGTCTCATCCAGAAAGGGCAGAGATTTAAAACGTGGGTCAAATGCAGTGCTCATATGAAGAAACTACACAAGTATTGAGTCAGATTCTGGGTATGTATTGATTAAGTCGGACACAATGGCAGATTTGACATCTTTCACAAGTATATCTGTCACTCACTTTCATAGATTCCAGGATGGTGTGTTTCAGTAGCAGTTGGCAGCCGTTCAGTGCTCAACAGAGTTGTGACCATTTTCAGTAGTTTGAGAACCTGAATGATGTCCTCAGCTAATTTTACAACTTCATCAGACAGAGTAACAATGTCCTTAATGTTCCTCTTAATACTCCTGTCTGTAAGTGTTGAGAAAACAGCAGCCTTCTGTTCAAGATAGTGCTCAAGCATGTCATAGCTTGAATTCCACCTGGTGGGAACATCCTGTATCAGCTTGTGTGGAGGCCGTTGGAGCATCTCTTTTGTCCTTGAGCACTGCTGCTGCTATAGTGCTATGATGGAAAAAAGTGACTCTCTTTCTCACTCTGCCTAAAAGCTGTGGCATCTGGTTAACGCCCATTCCCTTCTGTTATGCTAGGTTAGCTGTGTGTGCAAAACATCGAATGTTTGGTGAAAATCCAGCTGCTTCAACTGCATTCATAATATTTTTAGCATTATCTGTTGTCACAGGAATAGTGGCATTTTCTCTGTCCATTTTCCACTCTGCTACAGCTCCCTGTAATATTTCCAACAGATGATCACTTCTGTGGCTTTCATAGATAGTACATGTCTGCAGAATGTGATTTGCAGCAGGGGTGAGAGAGTATCGCAGTACACCATGAGAGTATTGCGGTATGTATCCGCCTCCATCTAAAACCTGTTGTTCCCCTCCCAGGCCTGTAGGCATTCGTCTGGTCTGACTGGCGGTGCTTATACAGCCTGTGGATAAGCTGCCTCCGCCTTACACGCTATGGCGTTACTGCAGGTTCATCAGGCCCAAGGCACTGAAGGACCTGCACGAGGGTGGTCATGATCCAGAAGTTCTAAAAGAGCTCCGAACTGCGACTGACCTCACGCTCCAAGCGATGAAGGTCACCGCGAGTACTCTGGGTCGTGCGATGTCCACACTTGTGGTCCAGGAGCGCCATCGCTAGCTGTGTCTGGCCAACATGAGGGATGCTTACAAAGTTCGGTTCCTCAATGCCTCTGTGTCCCAGACCGGCCTCTTTGGTGACGTGGTCGAGAGCATTGCCCAGCAGTTCTAGGCTGCACAGAAGCACGGTCGATGGCACCCAAATTCTTGACAAAAGAGCGGTTTTCTCTATCTCTGGGTCCCAAGAGGGCATGGAAAGTCGCGGACAGACCAACACTGGACCGCACTCATCCTCCTCTGTCGCCAGTAGGCAGCAGGTAAGTGTTGCACTGCACACTCAGACCCCTCTTCGGTCCGCCCAGGATCCGCCCAAGTTGGGTCCCTGCGTTCCATCTCGCTGCCCCACTGCAGGTACAGTGGTGGTTTCGCTCGTCCCGCTTGCACGGTATCTAGGTGCCTGGCTAGCGCTACCCAGCTCGTCTCGCTGGCTTCTGCGGACCATCAGCCTCGGCTATGTGATTCAGTTTGCCCGGCGTCCCCCCAAGTTCAGTGGCATCTGCTTCACAGCAGTGAAGGTGGCTGATGCTTCTGTCTTGCGTGCGGAGATCGCAGTCCTACTGGCGAAGGATGCAACAGAGCCGGTCCCTTCAGCTGATATAAAGACAGGGTTTTACAGCCCCTACTTCATTGTACCCAAGAAAGGCGGTGGGTTACGACCAATCATGGACCTGCGTGTCTTGAACCGGGCTTTTCACCGGTTACTGTTCAAGATGTTGACACAGAAACGCATCTTCGGGTGCATCCGTCCCCGAGTTTGGTTTGCAGCGATCGACCTGAAGGACGCATACTTTCATGTGTCGATCCTTCCATGCCACAGACCATTTCTGCTGTTCGCGTTCGAAGGACGTGCATATCAGTACAAGGTCCTGCCCTTCGGGCTGTCCCTATCTCCCCGTGTCTTCACGAAAGTTGCGGAGGGGGCTCTTGCTCCCCTCAGAGAGCAGGGTGTTCGCATCCTCAACTATCTCGACGATTGGTTTATACTAGCACAGTCTCGGGATCAGTTGTGCGAGCACAGGGACCTGGTGCTCCAGCACCTCAGCCAGTTGGGTCTTCGGGTCAACTGGGAAAAGAGCAAACTCTCCCCGAAGCAGAGGATCTCTTTTCTTGGTATGGAGTTGGATTCGGTCAAACAGACAGAATGCCTCACAGAGGAACGTGCGCGGTCAGTGCTGAACTGCTTGAATTCAGTTACACCGCTGGGGCTGCTTCATATGAGACCGCTTCAGCACTGGCTTCATGGCCGAGTCCCGAGGTTGGGAGTGGTAGCGCAGCACTCACCGGGTCCAAGTTACACCGGCCTGTCGCCAAACCTTCACCCCGTGGTCAGACCTTCCGTTTCTCCGGGCAGGAGTGCCCCTAGAACAGGTCTCCAGGCATGCTGTAGTTTACACAAATGCCTACACCACCGGCTGGGGGCCACGTACAATGGGCACTGACAAGGTGGTCTACGCTTCCGTCGCATGTCACAACTCACCCGCCACCTCCTCCTTTGGAGTCGGAAGGTTCTGAGGTCACTTCGTGCCATTCACATTCCGGGTCTGCTCAACCGTGCGGCCGACGAGCTGTCATGAGCTACGCTCCCAGGAGAATGGAGACTCCATCCCCAGATGGTCCAGCTGATATGGAGACGTTTCGGAGATGCTCAGGTAGACCTGTTTGCCTCTCCAGACATGTCTGGTGCCAGGCCTTCACTCGATGAATCCGTGAGAACCAGTAGAGGGCTGGGTTCCATATGTAGAGACCTAAGTGGTTCCCATATGTGTAAAGTCCACGGTATAGCCTCAGAGCCCGTATTTCCCCGGCAGACTTCTACCATTTCCAAGAGGGTTACAATCACCTCTAATCTTCCATATGCACCTAAACGGTTGTTCATATGTGTAAGTGCTTTCTGAAACCTCCTTTGGGAAGGATGGGGCTTCCGCAACATTCCTGTTCCGAATGGAACGGGCACGTTTTCCCAGTGTTATCCCATCTCACTGAGTGGGTAGTGCTACGATAACAGTGACTGGCCTTCTTGTTGTGAGCCCCGGCCTACACGAAAAAGTGGTGCAGGGCTCGCACAAGACAAGGAAGGGGCAGCAGCATCCATGGCGCTTTGGTAGGGATCCCAATTCGTCTGTCTCTTGAAGCGAGATCCCAATTCGTCTGTCACGATGTGACGTCTCCGTTCCCTCCTCCAGGAAACGAGAGTTACATACGTAACCAAGATGTTTTAACTTAACTTAAATTTAGTTCTAAACAGCACAAAAACAAAAATTATGTGGTTTGAAAAAAAACAACAATGGAATAAAGACATTATATCTTTGGATGGGACAAAAATTGAAGTAGTATCTTCATACAAATGTCTCAGAATCTGGCTTGATAGTCCTTTAACTTTTACTAATTTTACTATATCAGCCAAGAAACGTCTTGTTGAAACCCAGTCTCGGGATCAGTTGTGCGAGCACAGGGACCTGGTGCTCCAGCACCTCAGCCAGTTGGGTCTTCGGGTCAACTGGGAAAAGAGCAAACTCTCCCCGAAGCAGAGGATCTCTTTTCTTGGTATGGAGTTGGATTCGGTCAAACAGACAGAATGCCTCACAGAGGAACGTGCGCGGTCAGTGCTGAACTGCTTGAATTCAGTTACACCGCTGGGGCTGCTTCATATGAGACCGCTTCAGCACTGGCTTCATGGCCGAGTCCCGAGGTTGGGAGTGGTAGCGCAGCACTCACCGGGTCCAAGTTACACCGGCCTGTCGCCAAACCTTCACCCCGTGGTCAGACCTTCCGTTTCTCCGGGCAGGAGTGCCCCTAGAACAGGTCTCCAGGCATGCTGTAGTTTACACAAATGCCTACACCACCGGCTGGGGGCCACGTACAATGGGCACTGACAAGGTGGTCTACGCTTCCGTCGCATGTCACAACTCACCCGCCACCTCCTCCTTTGGAGTCGGAAGGTTCTGAGGTCACTTCGTGCCATTCACATTCCGGGTCTGCTCAACCGTGCGGCCGACGAGCTGTCATGAGCTACGCTCCCAGGAGAATGGAGACTCCATCCCCAGATGGTCCAGCTGATATGGAGACGTTTCGGAGATGCTCAGGTAGACCTGTTTGCCTCTCCAGACATGTCTGGTGCCAGGCCTTCACTCGATGAATCCGTGAGAACCAGTAGAGGGCTGGGTTCCATATGTAGAGACCTAAGTGGTTCCCATATGTGTAAAGTCCACGGTATAGCCTCAGAGCCCGTATTTCCCCGGCAGACTTCTACCATTTCCAAGAGGGTTACAATCACCTCTAATCTTCCATATGCACCTAAACGGTTGTTCATATGTGTAAGTGCTTTCTGAAACCTCCTTTGGGAAGGATGGGGCTTCCGCAACATTCCTGTTCCGAATGGAACGGGCACGTTTTCCCAGTGTTATCCCATCTCACTGAGTGGGTAGTGCTACGATAACAGTGACTGGCCTTCTTGTTGTGAGCCCCGGCCTACACGAAAAAGTGGTGCAGGGCTCGCACAAGACAAGGAAGGGGCAGCAGCATCCATGGCGCTTTGGTAGGGATCCCAATTCGTCTGTCTCTTGAAGCGAGATCCCAATTCGTCTGTCACGATGTGACGTCTCCGTTCCCTCCTCCAGGAAACGAGAGTTACATACGTAACCAAGATGTTTTAACTTAACTTAAATTTTGTTCTAAACAGCACAAAAACAAAAATTATGTGGTTTGAAAAAAAACAACAATGGAATAAAGACATTATATCTTTGGATGGGACAAAAATTGAAGTAGTATCTTCATACAAATGTCTCAGAATCTGGCTTGATAGTCCTTTAACTTTTACTAATTTTACTATATCAGCCAAGAAACATCTTGTTGAAACCACTGTTTTACCCTTGTTTGATTATGGTGATGTGGTATATAGAAATGCACATAAAGGTGTTCTGGAACAATTAGATGGGTTGTACCATGCAGCAATTAGATTGATAACTAATGCACCTTACAGAACGCATCATTGTGAATTATACTCTCTTTTGAATTGGACATAATTGCATACAAGACGGGAAATTCACTGGTATTTTTATTTACAAAGTTCTTCTAGGCTTATTACCTGAATATCTTTAAAAGTTGCTGCAACTTCATATTAATACATACATCTAGATCATCTAATTATTTTTCTTTGACTATCCCTAGAAAGAAAAGTACTTATGGTCGTTCCGCTTTTGAATGTTCTGCCCCAAATGATTGGAATGTGCTACAAAAGCTATGGAAACTAGAGACAAATATTTCAGTCAATATTATTTCTATAATTTGCATTAAAAAATTACTAGTGAGTGCTTTAACCTGAACCTGTAAATGTTTTAACTGAGTTTTTTGTTTTGATTTATTTATTTTATGTGCCTTATGTGTATTGTAATGTATGTTCGTATGTCTTTCAGGAGATATTTATTCTCCTGCCAGGCTGTTATTGAAAAATAAGAGCTTGTTCTTAATGACTTGCCTGGTTAAATAAAGGTTAAATGAAATTGTTCTCTGCAGGTTGAGGGATTGTGGAGTCACAGATGAAGGTTGTGCTGCTCTGGCTTCAGCTCTGAGATCAAACCCCTCACACCTGAGAGAACTGGATCTGTCTGTAAATAAATTAAGAGACTCCGATGTGAAGCTGCTCTCTGATCTGAAGGATAATCCACATTATAAATTGGAAACGCTTAAGTGAGTAGTGATGCTGTTTGAATTATAATAGAACGTTGATAGAGTTTCTTCTTAGGTTACTTTCTTGGTAATAGTTACTTACAGACATGTTTAATAAGAGTTTGATTCTGTTTATATGAATTAAGTATCTTAACATTTTTTATTTCAAAACAATACAGTATTTCACTTTTATTACTGACTGTTTACATGCAGACTTATTATGCGATTATAATGAGATTTAGGCAATATAGTGATGAAAATGTATCTCATGTAAACAATACTTTGATCAAATTTATGTTAAGCTCATAACTGTAGTATGAGCTAGTATAATATACACTACCATGTTCATAGTATAATATGTGGCGTATGCCAATTTTAATCGCAAAAAACAGGCATGTGAACACCTTAATCATGTTCAAATCACTGAACTCTGTCAACAACTTGCTGCCACCAGTCTCTGCTCCTTATCTTCATCCAGAGCTGGCATGAATAATGCAATGGCAACCCCCGTTTGCAGTGCCATTATCACATTTCAATTTCATCATCTTGCCGAATATCCATCCAGTACATCCATAGAAATGAAATTAGCGTTTGACTTAAGTAGATTAAAACAGCGGCCAGTAACACATCTACTGTATGTGAGTTCATCATTTATATTATACATTGAGGTATAATAGCAGTAAAACTAACCACACTTCTTAGTGAATGATCACAATAATGAAAACAGCATGTAAACAGGAGTGATGTTTGCTCATGTCATGTAAAAATCTTACAGTGATTTTGTCCTTGCATTATTGGTGCACATATAAACATAGTCGTTGTCTTTTTATACCTGAAATTAAGTATTTTGAGAAAATCTCAATTGAAATAGAAGATGATGGTAAATATTTTCATTACTTTTGTTGTCATAAATAAAACTAACCCAAGTACAGAAAAAGGACATTCACACGGCATTGTGGATAAGGGTCAAGGGTCATCATTCATGGTGGTTTGGATGCAAAATCAAAATCTGAATGGTCAAAAGAGCATTGATATCTCTGACAAATAGTGCAAATACTTTAAAGTGGACAATGCAGTAATGTCACACACATTTGAATGCCTGTGTTTTACTTTCAGGTTTAGATGTTAGTCTGACCTTCTCTGGATCATCTGATGGTGAATAAAGAGCCGCTACAGACAGACATCACATTCAACAGAATCGACAGACACAAACCCATAGTGATCATCACACACACCCATGTGTTTGTGTAACTTTCCAGAATCATCCAATTGTTCATTCAAAGTCAAACAATGAAACTTGAAACCTATTTATTCTTATAAACAATCTTGCATTACAATATTATCAGTTGTTTGTGAAATTCATGATGGGCTTGGGCTAGTATAAAAAAATGTAATAACTTAAGGTCTTTCCAGCATTAAGGTAATCCTGCTTGTTTTTAAATCATCTGGTCTCAGTTACAAATTTGACTGGTAAATGATAAAGAATGATAGCCCCCTTTGTATTGCATTGCATTGCATATCAGGGATGACAGATTGATAAAAAAGACATGCTATTTATGACTGGATGTAACTTTTGATACTTGGCGGTAAAAGTGACTCACTCGACTGACTGCCCTATTAGTGCGGCTCCCATGAAAAAAATAGTGAAGACCACTGATGTAGGCTGACACCAACAAACGTAATCGTAATTTATTTTCTCATTGTCACTAAAAGATGTCTGAAATAAACATTTTAAAACTTAACATTGTGTATGGCTTGAATTGGCTTGATGTTCTTTGTCTGACGTTTTAGGCTATTTTGCGTTATCAAAAGTGCAGGGGTCGATTTCTGTCTTTTAAAAAACTGTGGGGGTCAAGACCCCCCTGCAGGCCCGGTGTTCTGTCGATTTGTGCTACCCTGTCAGATTTTGCTACCTCTTTTTAAAACAGTGGATAGTACAATTCGACAACGAAAAATGCTACCTGTAAAATTATGGTTTATTAACGTCTTCACCTACCCCAACCCTAAAACTACCCATACAGTAATGCAAATACAGTAATCATGTGTTATATTCGCGGTTGTTGTCCTAAAAAAAGGGTTTACAGTAATGCAGATACATTAAATATTGTTGTTCAGCGTGAGAAGGACGCAGTATTGATGTGCGCATGCGCAGTAAACCCTGGTAGGACAATCTGACGGGTAGGATAAAATATCAGGACACCTGTTCTACGAGCACACTCAAACCAAATCAATAGCACCCTCAGATGAGCGGGGATATTTTGCATCCCCTTCAGGTGAGAGTAGTTCTCAGTGCAGCCGACTTGCATTTCTTTTGTAAAATATAGGTGTGTGTATGTTTTATTTAATCTATAAAACTGTTTCTTAGATGTAAATCATTTTATTTTATGCAAAGCAAACTAAAGAGACGCGATGTCAGTCACCTAAACGAGTTGCATCGGTCTTTTCGCAACAATTAAATGTTTATTTTTTTACTTCTAAAATGCTTTAAAGTTTCTTTAAAAATTAAACGAGTTTAATTTCAGAAATATTGTATACATGTGTAAACGGTAAAATATGCTGTATTTAAGAGCTGTAACGAAAATGAAGGCAATTAGGCAAAGAAAGAAAGAAAGAAAGAATGTCAAAAAAGTTAAAATAAATCAAAAACTAAAACGAAACGAAAATAACAACACTTTTTGAAAACCTTACTGAAATAAAATAATAAATAATCGTTTTCGTAATCATTGTGTCACAGTGTCTAGTTGGTGTGCCCATGTATAGCCACCAGAGGGCACGCTTCCTTGTTTTGTTTGTTTCTTTGGATTTCATTTCCCATCATCCTTTGCTCTCTCAATCGGATCTCTGTGTGTGATTTATGGTGCGTTCAAGTCATGTCGGATAGATTGTATTTACGAGCACATGAACGCCACCACAAAATCGTTATTACGAGTGGGAAACTCTACATTTTCTTTAAGCCCCGAGTTTCCGAGTTGGGGGTGTGTCAATGAGAAACATGGCGGAATTGATGGATGCAACGTCTGTAGTTGACGGTAAATTTTTGTTTAAATTGATAGTTTAGTTGTCCTATAAACTTAAATTGGTCATGTTCTTGTTACGCAGCTGAAATCCAAGTAAAAAAAATGCAGACCCTGTTGTATTTTCTTGTAATTTATTAAAAGAAGGTACACCGCCATCTTGTGCCGACTAAACTGACTTGAACGCACCTGACGTCGTAATTACGACTTGTCAACTCGTAAGTACGAACGTCCCAGGAGGACTTGAACGCACCATTGTTAGCTCCTCTATATATACCGTGTTCTGTGTGTCTTTTGTTGCTGCAGTATTGAGTTCTGTTATCTGGTTTTCTGTTCTCAGTTTTTGCAGTTTCCATTTGTGAATTACCTTTTCTATGTTTTTCTGCTTTTGTCCCATAGACTGTAAAAAAGATGGATGGTGCCTCTCCTATTCCTTCCACTATAGAAAAGTGAAGCCAAAGCATCTCAGTATGGCCGCTGCCATCTTGAGTAAATGACGTCATTTGGAGCCAGAGTCTGCGCAGTAGAGATTCGTTTGGAGCCAGAGTCTACGCAGTAGTGTCGTGAGGTGGAGCCGCGGTATCAAACTCTCACAGACCCAATCAACCATAACGACACGCCCCGTTTTTATAGAATCAAATTACTAGCTAAAATCAAACCTATCACAAAAACGAACAATTGAACATATATCAACGTGATAACAACTACCTTAAAGGGGTCATATGATGAGATTTCAAGTGTTCCTTTCTCTTTGGAGTGTTACAAGCTCTTGGTGCATAAAGAAGATCTGTAAAGTTGCAAAGACTAAAGTCTCAAATCCAAAGAGATATCCTTTATAAAAGTTCAGAGTCAGCCACACCTACCTAAAACGGCTCGTTCTAACATGCCCCCACATGTCTACCTCACTATGTGGGAAGATTTGCATAACGCCACCCAAATGTTCACGCAAAGAAAGAAGGCGTAACTTTTATTCTCGCTGTATTTTTTTATTTTGACTCAAGTCCCATTCGTTGACATGGAGAGGGCGGGGTTTATGACCTGTACTACAGCCAGCCACCAGGGGGCTATCAAAGAGCCCGCAGCTTCACTTTTCTGGATGTGTGAGGCACACCCGTTTTGTCGCAATGTGGATTACTGTTTTTTGGACCCTTAAATAAAAGCTGCACTTGGATCTTCTTGTTTGAGAGCATTCCGTGACAGAAAGAAACAAACAAAACTAAGAAGCGTGCCCTCTGGTGGCAATACATGGGCACACCAACTAGACACTGTGACATTATGTTCTCCGGCGGAATAAAGAATAATAAGGGACGATCGATGCATTGGAGGTTGAGAGGTTGAGAGGTTGAGAGGGAAATTTACCTTCCATAGGCTATTTATCGTCTAATAAATCTCAGCATGCTTTAATTGTGTGTTGCTAACTTTAATTTAAATTAAATGATATAAAACTAAATAGAAATGTGTTCACAAAATAAAAACTAAACTAAAATTAAGAAAATTATTAATGAAACTAACAAAAATTCTACTGAATTTTATAGCAAAATTAAAAACGACATTAAAATAAAAACGAATTAAAAAATACAAAACTACAACTACCTTGGCATTGGTGCGTGAGGAGGGGGATCCCCAAATGAGGTGCCTCCGGCACAAATTAAGCCCTGATTATAATGTAACTTTGTGAGATCCCGATGAAATAAGATGAGTGACAGCTTTTTAGTGATTATAAATGAATCGCTCTTTGCGCCATAGCAATGGATGGCACTAAAACCCTTATTAAGGTTAGAGCACCCTCACTAATTTAAGAAGCACCCCCAGTGATTTGATTCTGGAGCTGGGCCTGCCCCCCTGTCCCCCATGCCAATGGCGCACATGACTAACAGGTACAGTTGTCAAAAATTATGTACTAAACGCAAACCTTTTCATCTAATTTCACAGGTTTCAACACAAAGTGTGCAGTGCAGTTATCAGTAATTCTGCTAGGTATTAAAAAAAAATAAAAAAATAATTACA